CCAAGATTGGTCTGACGTTTGAAGTCAACCGACGGCCCCATTAATTCTAAAAAGGCCGTCAAACGCAAGTGAACTCCCACTAACTGAGTAGTCAGTATCAGGAGTTTGATATTTGCATTCATACAGGCATATAATATGGACAGCCATCAATAACTTTTTCAACCTTATGATACTTAAAAGTAGGCCAAATAATATATCTACAAAAAGGTCGTACGTAAAATCTAATGACAACTTTAAGTGGTTTTTGACAAACTGGCACGGCAATCAAAACGTCCCATATATATCAAATTCAGACCAACAATGACCAAATTTAAGGCCACACTAAACAAATATGGAAAGCACGAAGTTCTTGATCAAAATCATTTGTCGTATCACATTGTAAAATTACTAGAATCAGTCCTTCCCAGTAAATACCAATATAAATCTAGTCACTTGCACCATATTTCAGCGCAAATTTCACTACATCAATACACCCATCAAGCCCTCCCCTCCCCCCAAAAAAATGCAGCAAAATTAAAATATACAATTGTCTCAGAATCTCCGCATCATACATATAATTTAAGCAGCTGTGGCATTGTTGAAAATACATTCATGACTTTTTAAGAATCGCATTCGCTCACACCTTTTGTGCAACATATTGATTTAGTAACTTGTCACACTTTTTCGTCTTTCATAATTTTAAGGGAGCGAACAAGTAATTTTTAGTGACATAAATAATGTAATATGTTTAATTAAGCGCTGTATAACTACAATGCCCGTCAGAAGCGGCCATATTTCCCACGTGATCTCATTACAGGGTAACATGTAACGTCTAGTCGAGGCAATAATGATTATGAAATATTTTTCTATCGTGTTAATAGCACAAATAATAAAAGAAACGTAATAATTTGGTGTTTTTGACTTCAGGCGAATCTATTAGACTGTGGTTATTTTTGTCTGATGAACTAAGGGTACCAGGTGGGGGAACTACATGTATGAAAATGGAATACACAAAAACATTAATATGTGTTTGGAAAGATGACGGGAGTACACAAAAATATTTATACGTATTTAGAAAGATGATCCAGGAATTAGTATTCAATAATTTTTTGATTTGAAATGCCCAGGTATACACTAAAGGGTTTATGGCAATTGAACAAGCAAAAAAAATCATGAATCAATATGAAATGATAATTACAAATGGTTGAAATATACAGTTAACAAGTCAACTTTCCGAAGTAATGTTGGCATTTTAATAAAAGGAGCAATGTTCAAATCCCCGATACTGTGTTGGCGTTGCAGTAAACAATTTGACCAAAAAAGGAGATGAAAATTTATAAACAATTTGAAAATAACACAAATACTGCAAAAGAATCATCAATGGTAGTTCATCAAGTTCGACACCAACCATTCATCTTTTAAGTATGTATGTTTGGTGGTGGTGGTGGTGAATAAAAGGGGGGGTTCTCACGACAATTTTTTTTTCGACTTAAGTAAAAAAAAAAATTTTCAATGGAAACATTTTTTCACTTCCCTGCTGATACAAATTATCATTTACAAGTGTTTTAGAATCAAACGATTTATTGAGAATGTCCCCTCCCCTCCAATAGGAGAATGGGATGTGCCTTATTATTCGGATGCATTTAATAACGTTTGAGTTAGCTACCTAATGCAAGACTTTCTAATTTACTAATAACTACACTGACTTGTATGCAACAAATAATTACACTGACTTGTATGCAACAAATAATTACACTGACTTGTATGTAACATTTATCGAATGTTTCGCTTTGATCTTAGCTTTCTACATTTCAGATACTGGACAGATCAAAGATCAAACGACAGAACGAACACGCCAAAAGAATACACGGATAGATTTGTTATTATTAGCCTGTTTTCATTTGTATGTTGTATTTCAAAGATAGAAGATTTGTATTAAGGTTTTCACTGTATTTTGCATTAGGGAGATTTTTCTATTTTATTAGAACTAGGTAACAAATGTAAAATGATTATTAAATCTAATTATATGTGGGTGATCGAGGGGAATTGACTCATCTCTCTCTCTCTCTCTCTCTCTCTCTACCTCTACAATATATGTGGGAGTTGGAGGTGCATTGTCACCCCTCAAAAATTCTAATCATACGACACTATTTTCACACGATGGTAGTTCACCTGTCGTGTACCCCTAGGTCTAGACCCCTGTTATCGGATCAATCCGATTACGCAACAACCGATAAAGTATACATCGATTGCCAATACATTAATAAACAAACATAATCAATAATCACTTTAATCTAGCATGTCTAAAATTTTGAGATAATAAATATTGTTTCTGGATATATTGCCATCCTTGTGGATAGATATCGTATTGACCAGTTGACCAAAAAAACAGAAACTTCGTCTGCACAAAAATACCTTAAATAATCTATTGTTATGTATCCCTCAACATTTGAGTATAGAATTGCAAATTTTAAATAAGTGACCAAAATTTGTTAATAAAAATGGACGACATTTCGAAATTCTAAGCGACCACAGACTTTGTACAAAATGTATTGAGGTAGACGATAAAACACTCTTTTTTTCTTAATTAAAAATTTAATTTTCATATAAATTTTGTTAATTACGGAATACTACCAATCCTGGTTTTGATCAGTTAAAAAGTTCAATTCATTTAAATCTTATCAACGCCATCCGTTGTAATTGTGTTCGAAAAAGTAACTACTCAGGACAAAGGTCTCTTAAAATATTTCATAGCACATATATGATTTCAATGTACGATTTTTAGCTGTACATGTATATTGTTTCAGTTTCAAAGAAATCACAATATTTTGCAAGACATTTGTTACAAACGAAGAGTTTTCTTCGATACATTAAGAGAGAACTTTCTTATCTTTTTAAACATTCCTGGTAACTTGAAATCTATTTTTTATGGTTGTCTAATTTTGCGTGAATAAGAATTAGGAATATTATGCGTGGTCACTATGAATTTATACTCGGAATGGTGTCGTTTTGATAAGATATTGACTACTTCACTAGAAAAAAAGTGACCTAGTATAGTTTACATCAATATAAAACAAAAACAAAACAAAAAACCAAAAGGCATCTAGAGGTCGACGATCATGACCTATGGCCCTATATATATATAGCAGACATTTGTCTATGAAATAAGTCAACCCCTAAACCGCACGACTTTGGACAAATTGAAAAAATAGGAGTTGCGATATCAATTAGTAAATGTATTTTTTTTCTGAAAGTTGCATAGAAATGAAATCAGTGGTTTATAAGGAGTTCTTGGTGTAAAAGTGCTTACAGACAAAAATACGAGCAGACAAACGAAGGCTTTTAATTCTCGGCACTTTTTTCAACATGTCACAAATTAATGAATCTTCAACAAAACTGGTGTTTTTACAACCTGTAGGCGTACACGATGGTAGCGTTAGAATTAATCATACAGTCTGAGTTTGATGTATTCCGTAAAACATTGGTGTTTTATGTAAATTATCTGAATAAATAAACATAGGTCAGGGTTATGATTTTACCTGGGTCCAAAAATCGGAACTTTAATTTGAATAATATAGTGTACATTGACATGATAAACACAACCCTGTTTCTTTACGGATCTTAAATTAAGGGTACATGTATACAAAATAGAGTTTAATGTATCAGCTACATGTATTCAGAACAGCAATATCAACTTCTAAATTGTAAATATAGGATGCACTTTTTATGTGTTTATACTTTCTATTTTCACTATTTTATGTACATGGTATAACATAATTTTTCAATGACAACTTGTGTAAAATTTACAGCGAGTTTTTAAATACTTTTGAAAGTCAAAGTTTATTGATTGTTGCTTTTTTAAATCTCATACGATATGCATCTGACAGACAATGCAGACAATCATCATGATAATAACTAGTTTAAATTTATACTATGAGAAGAAGTTGTCAAAACTGATATGTAATAAGATAAGGAACTTTCAATAGTATATTTAAACGCGTTGTATGTGCAAATGTTTCAGAAATATTACATGTATATGCACCCCAATTATAACAATGACCTTCAATTTTTTTTGCCATATTGGTTAACTTGGGTAAAACAAAAAAATATGTATGTTTAGGTTTCCTTCTTTAGAAAAATAGGGTTGGATTGTTTTTGTTGCTAAATTTTTACCGCAAGTGTATGGAAACCACATGCAATTTTGTCACAATTTAATTCCAAAAAATGCTAAAATAAAACTTTTGAAGTAGGCATTTTGAGGAATAACAATTGGGTAGGTGAACACAATTATTTTTAAAAATTTTGCCCTAAACATTTTTATTTTTTTTTACAAAAGTATTATCAAATTATGGTAAATTGTTAAACCAATGCCAAAATGGTACAACTGTTTTATGTATCCTTTAATGACATGTTTGTTTAATGATTTGTTCTGAATAGGCATCAAATGTTTGCAACTGGACAGTAAGCAAGCAACATCGTTTGATCATAGTAAAGTTGTTTGGAATACAACCCTAAAAGTATCAGCAGAAAATAACAATATGGAGGAAAATATACAAACAATTTTAATGTTTTATACAGTTCAAGATTTTTAATGTAGTAGTTAGGAATGTATTAGCTCTGCTCAATTCCAATCTATGCTTTATAATACGTTCTGCAACAAAAACGTCCACTTTTGAAGTTATCATTTTTTGTCATGAAGCTAAGGTTTTCGTTAATTAAATGTCGACACCTTTATAACCTCGCTTGGGGTTTAGGTTTCCTTCTTATTCATAGGAGGTTGGGTAGTTTTCTTCCAATAATTTGCTAGTTTTCGTTTCATTAGTGTATTTCTTAAAGGATGTAATTCGCCTTGTTTCGAGCAAATATATTACAAATGCACTAATGGCATGAAAAAATCCGTGTAATCAAAATTTGTATTTAACGTTCTGCCTTGCTCATGACCCCCTCACCGCCCTCTTATAATACACATTGTTTATAATTATTAAAAAAATAATCAGAAAAACCGTATCGATTCTATATACCTGTTTTCCGCTTTTTATTTTGTTTCGTCTCTTCTTGTGACGATGAAGATGAAGTTGATGAAAATGAAGACGATGGAAAACTTTCCACACTTGCAGTTGAGTCAGGGGTGGATACGGGTCCGTATTTTACAGTTGTATCATTTCCATTATCATCTGGAATATCATATTGCTGAGGAGTTTCTGGCACCATAAAACGCATAGGGTCCGCATAAGCATTAATATCACTGTGCATATTCCTCATAAAGTTCATATTTGAATATATTCTGTTGTCCATTTTTATCTATGTTGACCTATGGTGGTCAGCTACGGTCAGTTGATTTGCACTCGTCAACAGTCATACACATAACTCCAACATTCTACTCAGCGATACATCCTTGCACACAAAATTTAATAACTTAACTTGACCTGACCCAATCGATTTGTGGTACTAGTGTCGTGGTCACCTTCTTGACTATTGACCAGTGTCCGTGATATAATCAGTTTTACAGATGAATAGTAGAACTTGGCATTTAAAGTGCATAGGGGTGGGCAGGTAGTAATATGTTTTGATTGGTCAAATAATTTACAACTGTTTTGTATGAATATCGTTTGTTTTCATATTTGCATGTTTTACGTATAATCAATTATTAAAATTGTGTGAGTTTTATGCATATTTTAAATAAAATTATTCATAAAGATGCAATGGTCAGTTTTTAGAGCAATGTATTTACCCCTTGACATTTTTCAAAATGGACTCTTCCTCCGTCCAAATAATTAACCGATATTTTTACACATTACCAATGGCCAGTTGTCCATTCTAAAATTTTCTTGACTAAAAATTAAGAGCTGGTATTCATGTTGCACACCAATTTTTTGTTTCTATCTTTTATCATTAACACATTTTAGTTGATTTCCAAGCCAAATAAATGGACTCGCCTGACCAGCTAAGGCCATGGAAGGACAAAGGGTATTACATTGACCAGACGTAGATATAATCAATAATAACTACACAGGGTTAAAGGTTAAATATTTACAAATGGGCGAACAATAAACCAATAACCAAAATTACGCAATTGATCATAACGGTACACCGTTTTCCGAATGGATAAACCACAACAAAAACCACGTTCTCCTGGCGAGAATTGTAAAACACATATATAAGTCGTTCATATTTCTATGTTGTTTTGTTTCAAGATCAACAAATAAACTTAAATTAGTATTTTGTAAAGAAACGTATTATGAATAAGAAGCTTATAGATTATTTTCTTAATTACATATTTTTTCCACCTTATTTTCGTACTAAGAGATAAAATATAAGAAAAAAGAGACATGCAAGAAAGCGTAATTACAGAAATATGGCACTCGGTTTTTTTGTAAGAATTACCAAAATCAAACGTAGTTTTAAATACGTGGTTTGAGTATGAGGTCTTAGGAAAATCGGGTCATGATTTTCAGATGTATTTTCATTTGCTTTTGAAAAAGAAGAGTTATACTTAGGTACGTAACCCTGTGTCCGCTACTTTCCCATCAGGGTTACGTTTCCGTCCCATTACTCGCAATGGAGCTGCACAGGAATGCTTCACTCCTATTTATTTATTCTTCGTACATTTAAGTTAACAATAACTAATTCAACGATACACATCTATTTTCGTATCAAATATCGTGAAACGGAAGAAATGTGAGATTTGTGTGAATATATACAATTTTATTTGTATATCATTTTCCGAATGGATATATCACAATTCTGACGTAGTAATTCTGATTGACCTCTTGAGAAAGGAGTGCGTGAATGAAATTATTGTATCAAACAAATTTCTCTTGAACGACGGAGACATTTATTTTAAACTCTATTATCATGACATTTGTTTCTTTGGAGAAATTGACATTACTGTACTAAAATAATAATTTCGTTTTTAATTAGCACTTCTGTGTTGACATGCATTATGTTCATATGGTCATAATTAAAAATTAACTCAGTTTTACAAAACATAGAATGTTTCGAAATACTAAGGATTTTCTACCCCAGGAAATGATTATCTTAGTTTATTTTGCAAAACCTTTCGGGATTTGCTCCTCAATGCTCTTCAACTTCTGACTTTATTTGGCCTTTTTATTTGTTTTGATTCGAGCGACACTGACGAGTCTTTTGTATTACACAATTTCAGTAATCCTGGTATCTTTGATGATTTGTTGTTTTCTTGAGAGTATAATGGAATTAAAACGTAATCCTGATTGGAGAAATATGGACACAAGGTTGGATGTTTTGTAGATAAATAAATTGCAATGATAATAAAATTTTATCTTTGGAACCCCGGGATCCAACACTGATATATCAAAACACCAATCAGAATTACAGCTTGTTTAGCTGTTTAGCTGCTATGTTGAGAGCTCTCGAAAGACAATTCAATCGGAATAAGTAAAAATATACATTATTTTTAATTCTTTTAGTGTATACTCATGTTCAGTTAGACGAGAAAAAAAGATGCGATATCTAAATTGTATCATTTACCATCTGTCATTTCGTGTTGAACAAAGAATGACCAGTCTTAATTTTACGATTAGGTCAGTCGTTTAATGGACAATGGACATTTTGAATTCGGCCAATTTAAAATCTGACGTCGACCATTAAATAGTTGAAACCTGTCATTTGAGCCAATTGTTCCGAATGGTACAAGAATACAGTCATACAGCGGGTCGGCTTGATTTTTTATAAAAGGACTTCTTTCCTGCGAAAAAAGGAATTCCTTCAACAAGTTGTTGACTTTTCGGCATCTGGGACGACTATGGGAATTTATATTTCGGTCTCTGATGGCACAGAAGCATTTAGGGGACATAGTAATAATTAACAAAAACACCAAACAAGCATTGAAATTTCTTATTTTTTCTCAGTCGAAATTTCCACATGTAGAAAGTTTTTAAATATGAGTATATTGACTTTGACTTAAACTCGAATTTGAAATACCGATTGTGAAAAGACCTCAATCTGAATTTAAGCTTTTTATTAACGTAGATTTTTTTTTACTTCTTAATCTTTAAATTTTGCTTTTTAGAAACGTTTAATTATTACCGTGAGTTATTTCAAATTTTTTTAAGCTCGAAATTTCGATTTACAGGTCAAAATTTTGACTTTCAACATCGTTATATCTGAAATTTTGACTTTGGAAGAAAGTTCAAGGCCAATTTTATCTTTACGATGTCACTAATACGCTTCATTATACCATAGAGATCGTTTAAACGGATAGTAGCTACGATTTTCATTAAAATTATTTTTCTAATCAATATGCCGGATTTTGTACAAAAGGTTTATTTAGAATGAATAAAACCATCACTGTTTACTTTCCAATTAGCATTTAGAAGCTTTTTAACGTTTTACACCTAAATTTAATTCTTATCTATAGACAAAAATTCGATGTTAAGCCAACCCTTATTCATATGACCTATGTTGACCTTAACTCCGCAGTTCCCAATGCGCAATCGCAAGTTGTCCCTCGAAGGGAAAATGTCGAACAGAGGAATGTTATCGCGGAAATGGAACGTGTGTTTACAGTTTCTGCGAGAAAAAGAAACAGTAAAGAGGTGCAGACAAGTTATTGTAAATTGAAAATAAATAACGGCGATGAGATCGGTCATTAGAATCATTTACAAACACCCGTCACGCAGATAAAGTCATTATATAAGCAGTCGACATTACGACGGTTTGCGAAATGTAAAAAACATTTCTGAACTTTTCGAATCCAGATCACATGAAAATAAATCGCGACGTGTTCAAATCATTATTGTCCAAAATATTTTTATAAATTTAAGAGCAGTGATCTCACAACTTAGAAGACATTAAAAATCAACTTCTTACAATTTAATATTATTCTTTCGGTGTACCCTGCATGAAGGCCCCAATTCAATTTACAAACACGTGTATACGTTATCGGCATTGTTTTGTCATACAAATATAAAACAAGTGTATAATATCGCCATTGTTGGAGAACCTTAGGTTCGAATAATATGCAGGACTACTATAGGGGGTTCTTGGACCCCCAAAAAAAAATTAAGACCCCCAAGTTATATCATCTTACATAATCTCAAATGACATAATATGACATAAAATGACATAAAATGATATAATATAGGGGTCATAAATAGATGATGGGGGTTATAAATAACTTATATGAATTATACCCATCATATTATCTAATACATGATGTCATAAGATGGGGGTCATAACTAACGTATATGAATATAACCCCCAAGTTATAATATTATATCTTTATAACCCCCAAATGAGATAAGATGACAGTCATACATAACTTATATATATATATTTATTATATACCTTTAAGAAACCACACACCGTGAACTGAAAAACTTATAAATATCAATCAACATCATAAACGTTTATCATACAAAGTTATCATACATTATCTGATGGGCTTTGAAAGAAAAATGAGAACCTATAGATGTGGTTGTTTTTCTGTTACAATGTCGCACGATGCTTTTAATTATACAGATGAAGATGAATACCATAACATTTGTGGACAACACCCATATGAAGATTCTGCAAAAGAGGATCATGACAAGAAATCCAAAATGGAACTTATCATTCAAAAAGCCAGAGATGTTTTACTAACATTTTTGAAACCAGATATCATTGCACATCATTTGGAACGACGTAAAGCAATTTCCAAAGAAGAAAAAGACAAAATATTGAAAAGTACATCCGAATATGTGAAGTCTCAACAGTTGATAAAACTTATAATAGAATCTAAGAAAACATCGCTACATCACTTTAGGATGGCTCTAATCAGATCAGGTCAGACCAATTTATTAAAGTACATCAGTGAAACAAATAATACAGAGGACAACGATGATGACGACCTAATGAAAAGCCATGAAGGTAGATGCATGATTCATTTACAGGGAGATTCTTATGTTGTAGCTAAAGATTTTAGAGAACAAGTTTATATAAACATACGCAATTATCAAACAATAGAACAAAAGAAATATCCAACCAAACGAGGCGTTTCACTAACATTATCAAGGTGGTTGACATTAATAAAGCAGAAAGATTACATCAACAGCGTTTTCCAACTAGTATTGGCTGGCGAACAGATAGATGAAGAAATTGTTCATATAGGAGGTGGTGTAAACGTCACACTCAATTCAAAATATCCTACAGTGGATATCAGACATTTCTGGAAACCAGAAGAATCTAACAAGACATTTGCAACAAAACGTGGAATAGCTCTAAGTAACGTTAAATGGCAAAAGCTTTGTGATACCATGAACATAATGACAGAATTTGTTCCAGAACTTACTAATGCTGTCAGATGTGAAGATACACACAACAATGAAATTGAAATGATGACATGTTCTGAATGTTCACCGTTCCCAGAAGAAAAAGAAGAAGAAGTAACCTCAAATGAAGAAGGTACTCTAACAATCACCACAGAAGAAGAAGTATATC